TCAAAATAATTAATTAGAATTAATATAGAAAAAATAGCTAAATTATTTTTCATATGACATTTCTAAATACCGTATGAAAGTTTGACCTGGCTTCATATTCCAATGTACAGGCATTATAAATGACATCGTAAGCGAGCTAGCGTTGCAATGACCAATTGTTCTCTCAATTCTCTGCCTACATCTCCCTTGCTTTGATCAGAATATATAGAGGTATGACTATTTTTTCTTCATTAGCTAACGTATTTATGTATATCAAGATTGTGTTCACCTAATTCATATACTTTTGTGTGTGTGTGTATATATATATATAGGAGAGGTTTATGGCGAATCTTGAAGATCCATTTGCAGCGATTGCAAATATAGGACCCAATCCGAACTACGAGATTCATCATCATGTAACCAATATTAGTAGCAGAACGATATTGGACGCCGAACAAGTAACATTGTCAGTCAAGTGTCCAAGTTGCGAAAAATCATTTTATGTGCGCAAAAACATGACAGCCGGTACAGCAACTACTACTACTACTGAGATAGAATTTAACGCTGCAGGCACAAATTTTCCAGTACATGAAAATAGAAAACGCGAATCCAACAAAAAGAACCGCAATAAGGGACGACTAAAAGCTGCTGCCGCTGCTGATCGGAATAACTACACACCGCCTATAAGTGTTGGAAAACGTGGACGCACATATGACGTTGATTCTGACTCGGAGGATGATCCCCGTGTTCCGAGGAAATCCAATAATGTTAATCGCTATTTGAAATTCAATGACTAGTACTTATTAATCAGGAGATTGATTCACGTGTACTTCCCTAAAAATGGTGATTCTAAACAACTTTAGCAAATAATTGACATTCACGAGGATCTTCTTGATCCTGTTGCTGTTTAGTTGCTGCATGTTTTCTATGTTCCAGGTATACAGTAAACATTTTCAGAACTACAAGTAAAGAAACAGATATTCAGAAAAAGGGGGTAAGTGAACTTGACATGAGCATGTGAAATTAAAGCTAGATTGAGTTGCATAAATTGTTCAGACATAAAATCAAGCTCTTGGTACCATTGCGAATGTCTTGCAGAGTACTTTAGTATGCCGCTACCGAAATTCAATACGCGTCTAAAGTTGACCACTTAAATAATCTATTTGGGCTTTTATGCTAACATTACCAATTTCGGTGTGTCTATTCCAATTGAAACTCTGTTTCCTCGAATTTCTCAACGATCAAGAGAGCAAGACGAACTCATTATTCAAAAATAGTCCTTTAACTCGTTTAATCAAAAATATTTTGAGAGAGAGTTTGAACTGTGTACTTGAACGATAAGTGAGAACAGAACTTTTATTTCTCTGAAAAATTTTTAGTTATATGATCAAGATTGATAATCAAGATTAGACTCAAAGAAGCACAAAGCCCGGACTCCTTTCATCGTCCACCAATATTTTATTTTTAGATTTTCACCTTCATTATTAGGTCCAAGAAATGGATCTAAAAATATCAAAAAAAATAAAAAAAATGAACGCGCATTTAGCTAGGCCCGCTCTACCGTCAACAAAAGAGTTGATAGCCTTTTTGCTCGCCTAAACTCTAGGCATGACGCTTTGCACCTAAGCACGCTTTTGAGCACAGTTGACACTGCTACATAAGGTATACCCGACCATCATTATTGAAAATATATATTAATTAATAAAAGGTTGATGAAAAAATTTGAGAGCATAAATATGATAATGAATGGAGGTTATGAACCAGCTTTATGCCATTAAAATGTTGTGTACTTATAGGAAAATATGGTGTGTATATTTAGCCTTTTTGAAATTTTGATTCCTATGTTCTACTATAGGGATGGCAAAGGGGACGGGTGGGGCAAGGTAGGGATTAAAAATTCTCATCAGTATCTCGTTTAATTATTTAATATATTTTTTTAAAATAAGATTTAAATTGAAAAATATAATAAAAAATTATAGAAGCATATTTCGGAGAATTCAGGGTTAGAACTCCAATTGAAATCTTACAAAAGAGTGCTACAATTTTTCTTGTTCCAATTTGGTACTACTTTCGTAAATTTCCATATATTGTCACAAATAAAAAAAAAGAACCGCATTGAATTGTCCATGTAGAAAAAATGTGTTGACCTACTATATAATATTCCCCTCTACCTAAATGAGATTTTATTTATTATAAACGACAAATATTTAGTCAAAATAGGAATATACAAATAGGAATATGTCTTTGTATATTNTTTTTTTTTTTTTTTTCAATCTAATTATCTAAGACGATAAAATAATTCCAGACGGGAAAAATAAAATATAAAGAGTTTTCATTCGATTAATTTCTAGATTCTCCTATTTCATATACACACACAAAAAAAAAAAAAATCCAATTCATTATAAGTAAATTGAAAAGACTAATCATTTCCATTACGCTTCTATCTTGATTCTTTCAAATATTTTAAGGTACTTATTTTTTCTGTAATTCATACTAATAAGGTCCTGTTTGAGCCAAATTATTGTAGAATGAGAATAAAAAAATATAGTCGTTATTGGGACTTACATAAGAGATAGAAAATTTGAATTTAAATGTTGATGTGATGGATAACGGTCATATTTTTCATTTTAATGAGATAATAACGGGGGCTAAGTTAGATACTTAGTATAAGGAATTTTGCTCACTCTATTTTTATTTATCTATTTTACCATCAATTCAATCTCGATCTGAAAAAACTTCGATTTCTTCTCGATGATAATGATTGATCCCAAATTTCAATAACAATGTCATGTGTAATGTGGACCTAATGGTGGTCCAAAAATACACGTTAAAAACGTACGGCCACAAGAATATGCCCTGGCAGCCTAGAGAATCTGATTGCAATTAGCATAAAAAAATAAAAAGAAAACAATTCCTTTTCTCCTTCCACTTTTCCTTCCCATATAATAAAAAGGTATTTTGAAAAGAATACAAATTAAGATCCTAATTAAATAAATATTAATCAAAATTGTGTGTGTGATGTATTCAAAATACTATTAAAATAATATATACTATTAATATAATATACCTTTAAAAAATAAATGAAAAATCAATTTAATTTAATTTAATTATAAATTAGTCTATAGAAAATTCTATAATTTAATTAAAAATAGATATTTTTTTACAAAAAAAATGAATGGAAAAACAAAAAAAAAAGTTATAAAAATCCAATTTATTGTTTTTTCATAAAAAAATAGAGATGAACAATAAGAGAGAGAGAGAGAGAGAGAGAGAGAGAGAGATAATCAATCAATAGAAAAAAAAATTAAACGTAACTCTAATGTTCATAGAAGAATAAATAAAAGAAAAAAATTGAAAAAAATGCATATTAATTTCTTCTTCTTCTTCTTCTTCTTCTTCTTCTTCTTCTTCTTCTTCTTCTTCTTCTCAACATTTGTAATTAATGTTAGACAATTTTTTAGATTTTATTTTAGTATTTTCCGCTTAAAAGTTAGTATTCCGAAGACTTTTATAAAAAATTTCTAAAAGTCATTAATATTTAAATACCCCAAAATTTATATAAACTGTTAAAAAGTTTTAATTGAATACACTGTGACATTTAAAGACTTTTTAAAAGTCTCAATTGAATATACTAATACTTTTAGAGAGTTTCAAAAATTTTACATTGAATATTTACTTCTAAATTTTTTAAATCTCAAAAAGTCATTAAAAATCTCAATTAAATACCCCTAATTAATGTTTTATTTCTATCTTACATTAAATAATTAGAGTTGAAGCGAACTTCCATCATTAATAATTTTAATTATTTTGCTAATTGTCTTAATAGTTGGTCAAATCTCAAACGTAAGTTAGACTTTAAAAAAAACCTATGAAGAAGAAAAGGTAAAATAGTATTGAGTAATGTTATTCATCCCCAATGGGGATGAAAACCCGATTAAGCGGGTTATCCCCGCCCCTTTCGGGGCAGGGCTCCGCGGGTGTCTGTTTTGTCGAATTTTTTTGTCATCCCTAAGTGGATAGGTGGGGTGCATATTTCTCTTTTTCACTTTTTGATTTGATTATTTTAATTGTTTTATTTGATAAAATATAAAGTTACAAATCTATACTTCATTTATCTGATCAAAAGAGGTAGATTTTTTAATTTTATGTGGATTTGTCCTCCAGGTGCAATAAAAAAAAAAAGGTTCGAGACTCTGGGTATAAAAATGAAATGTTTGGATATAATTTGCAACTAATTGAAATGTTTGGAATCCAGACCGCCATTCCCCTGTAAATAATGCCAAAGAAGCTATTTTACCACAAAGACTAATTTAAGCAATCGTGTTTGGACCTCCTACATTAAAAGTTATGCTTATCATTGGGAGATAAGAATCAATACGTACCTCACCAATCACCGTCATTAAATTTAACTGCTAATAATAAAATGAGTTAAGTCATTTGTACATCA